ATGCAGCAATATACCCTTATCACCTGCATATGGGGTGTATATCTCTCAGTTGATTCGATACGCAAGAGTTTGTTCTACGTATGAACAATTTTTAAAACGAGGGAAGTTACGGACAAACAAGTTGATGAAACATGAATTTCAACAGTCTCGTTTAAAGTCATCATTTCGTAAGTTCTACGGTCGATACAATGACTTTTCAGCAAATACATTCTATCATTAAGTGATATGCTGACTGATGTTTTTCATACTGTTAGGCCATTATTTACACACTGAATTGTCGACGAATTTTTCAGTTATTCCCCGATGCTGAGAAGGAACACTAGGTGGTAGTGACAGGTCGGCAGTGGATGGTCACTCCTCCATGGCACCTGATCCCACCTATGATGTTTTTGGATGCCCGATTTGTATTGTTTTAATGGGCTTTGAGCTTAAATACTGTTTGTCATCTTCATATTTTATTGTTTAAAATGGCCACTGATATTGATATTAGAAAGTCTTTATAAAAGAGCAGAATGTAGTACGGTATCAAAGGCTTTTGAGAAGTCAATTAAGCAAGCATATAATTTTGATTTTTCAGCTTTATATTTTTTAATCAAAATTCTTTGTACAGACATACGACCAGATGTTCTGCCTTTAGGTTGAAAGCCTATTTGGGTTTTGTTAATCATTTTGTTTTCATGTAAAAAGTCTGGCAGTCTTGTGTTAAGTCTGCTATTGAAAACTTTAGGGAGACATGACATAATTGCTATTCCTATGTAGTTTGATAATCACTAGGATTATCTCATTTATATACTGGTTTTAAAATCCAGTTTTCCATTCTGTAGGATAGTTACCTGTTAATAATATCAAATTAAGTAATTTAAATAACCATGGTAATATTTGAGTTAATCCAGCCTTTAACATTTCATTTTTTATTCCATCAAGACCTGCCGATTTGTTATTATATAATCATGATCACATGATGCACGTGCTTACAGACTTGGTTGATAGGTGACCAGGAAGAATAACATAAACCAAAAGAAATTATGTCAGTGAATGCGGGTGTGGGAAATGAGATAGGTTATTTCTTTCCTAACAGTTAGCCTCCAAAAGTAGGAACTAAAGGTAAATCATTGGCATTTATTGTACATTATTCACTAACTTAATCAATTATAGACCAGTCAGTAGTCACCTTCTAGAAAATAACATGCATATTCACAAAAAATGTAGCTATAAAAAGGTTATGTACAAATTCGTTTAACTCAGATGAACATAATTTATTAACAATGATAACAAATGAGAACAAATAAAATGAATTAAATACGTGTTTGCGATCATTTTTGTTGACATTACCACTTATACGAGCCTGGTCTCGGATAAGTGAGTTTATTTCAGTAACCCTAGTAATATTTTTCTATTCCGGATAAGTTACGTACATTTGGATAAATATAAATTTCCACCCTTAGTCACAAGCTATCATTCCGGATAATTGAGGTTCATTCGTATATAGTCTAATAATAAGTTCTCTTCTACCTCCTTTCTCAAAGAATCGATTAAACGGTAAGGTCATGGAAAATTTTTGGGAGTTAAATTGTGGCAATGTTTTAAATTTTTCAAATCAAATAAGTTTGATTTTTAGTATAACTATTGAGGTTTGTAGTTTCAAAGCAAATTAGACGTATCGATGGCGAAGTTTGACTTTGGATTTGGCCTGATTAGACTTTTTCGTAAACTGAATTGATTTTTTCTCTATATTGTAATGTGTGAATTACAGATAAAAGGAATAAATTATGATCAGTTTGGGGGTCAAAGGATTGTTTATCTTGAGTTATTATTTTTAGGAGCGAAATGTTAAACTTCGAGTCCATCATAGCTATAACGGGGGGGGGGGGGGATTTCATAAAACACGGAATATTCTAAGAAGCCGGGCTTATTAGACGGATTTTAGTTTGTTTTCTACATAGATTTATCGTGCTCGAAGGAAGTTTATTGATTCGCATTTTACAAAATGTAATCGTCGTTAAGAGAATTTGTGCACTTTCACTTTTTGAAGTAATCAAAGTACTGTATGTACTGAGAGGAGATTTATTAAGTTGTAGTAGTTATGCTCTATTTGCAGACTTGTAACGTTTCATTTGTTTATTGGTCTTTTGAAAAAGCTTGGAACAGTACTGTTTGTTATCTTTTCCAATTTTTTAATATTTTTTTTTCATGTTATCCTGGCATTTACATAGAACATGTTACCAAGAAAACAAAAAGGTCTAAGGTTTTATAGGTGATATTGTATGAACTGATTTTCCTATTACATAATGGGAGGGGAGTTAATTGGTATATTATGTTACACAACATATGGGAACTCATGTGGTCCACATGGTCAATTTCTGCATAAAAATCCAACTAATGAAAGCATAATCACAGTTTATTGAAATAGGATGAAAACATTTCTTATTAATTTTGCAAGCATTTGTCTCACAGTGAGCAGTCAAACCGTAGCAAAGCTGTGGAAATGTATTCTTCATATGCTTTAAAATAGGTATGCAAATTTGCAGGGTTCAGGCACAAGCAAGGAGCAAATGATATTGGTACAAAAGGCAGTAAGTACAATAAAAAACTTTTAGTAAGTGATAGTGATTGCGGATATATGTTACCATGATTAATTATTTTCAGCTACATTACCAAAAACAGGTCAACATTTTTAATTTTATTTTTTAAGACAGCTTTATCAGTGAGTCAACAGCTTCAGTGGGAACAAGATTCCTTTCTAACAAAGCATGACCTTATCACTTACCCAATAATTCATTAGAACAGTAATTAAAGATTTGCAAAAAAGAAATAAGTAGGAAATGTTGCAGTTGTGCTAAAACTAGATATAAAAGTGGAATTGGCAAATGATATATATCCTAATCCAGCTACAATTAATTGCAACTATTAGATTACATTATGAGGGAAAGTATAATTTGGTTAAGCGGTCTGTGTGTGTGTGTGGGGGGGGGGGGGGCATATTTCAAGTAAACTGGTAATTTTTTAAGTAGATGGTCAAAATCAAATTGGTTCCTCATCTCCTTCGGATCGATTGAGTTCTGATATTTAGTTAAGCTATTAGAGCACTGTGATAGGCAGTTTAACAAAGTGATTGGTCAGGAGTCTCACTCGGATAAGCAGCACCCACCACTTTCTCCGTATGTTGCTTATCAGGCTTTATTTGAATGGATAGTCTGCTAACGCGTGCGACGAGACGGGGAAACAAAGCTTGTCGAATAATCATTTAGATATAAATTACCGTATATATGAATCAACAATTATCTAAAGATTTAAAATAGGTTGATATGAAATTGTAATATTGAATATCAACTAGTATATTGAATTTTCTAGTATATAAGAAAAGTCAAAACCAAGGAGTTAATAATGTGTTGTGAAAACAATTTTGATCCATTTATTTAAGGTACACTACGATATTCAATTTTAAGCTAATCTGGTAAGGGATATCCAAGATATGTCCAGAAGTATGCCTTATCAAGTAAACCAGTTTTGTCCAGCGCACATACCCGTGGACAAAGAGTTGCAACATACTCAAGATTTTGTTTTCTCGGATATTTTATGGTGCTTGTTTATTTTATTACGCACCTATGTCAGTGTCTAATGGGGATTTAAGCCTTGAGACTAATTTTATCATTCTGTTTAATTATTACCAAATACATGTATAATTTTGTGTAATACACAATGGTCCACGCTTATACCTAAATTTCCCAGAGATAAAACTACTCCCTTGTAGACTTTTTTTTGGAATACTCAGAACATTTAGTATCGCAATTACCTCGAATTATATAACTTAATGCCTCTGTTTTGCGATAAAGTCAAGAAAGTTATAAATCTCCCTTCATTTTTGGGGCATAACATATTGTTTACATATATTGTTTACGCTAGCGACAATGGAATGATACGAACAATAAGTATGCCGAATGTACAATGTAATGCCGATGGTTGCACATCAGAAAGCAAGTCAAAGTATTCGGAGTTTTTAGATTTCCAAAATAACGTTTATCAGAAAGAAATGATTAAACTTATTATTAGAATAGTCTACTTAGAGGGAAATATCCACAAAAATTTTACACAAGAGAGCTAGCATTTTAATTTCAGCAGCGTGGTGCACCGAACATTTAGCAAGGTATTTCATCAGGGCTTCTTTCTTATATGTCCCTTAAAAATCTGCAGTGATCAATCTCATAGTGTAGTCAATAGCTATAGCACATTGTCCTCAGCTATTAATCAACGTATACTACCTTCAACGCAAAAGAGTTTCATTACGTTAAGTAATAGCGATATAAAGTATTCTTTCTTTTGTTTAAAATAGGTTAAAGTGCCCTCATGACATGAGGTTATATAAAGCTAAAATTAGTCGTACTTTAAAACACTTAATAGGTGATGATTAAATTAATAAGCCTTGGTAGTTATTGGTAATTAAAAAAAAGAAGTAACGGTTCGAATGTATAAGGCGTTTATCATTTTTCAGGGAAACTGAGAGCAGGTTGAGTCAGTATTGGATACTGTATATCATGCCGATATGTTTTATTATTTGTAGAATACAAAATTTAAATCTCATTCACTACAATGAGGGAGCAACCGCTAAAGCACATTTGCCATCAAGATGCAACAGGGGAGGTTATTTTAGCTTTAAAACGTTGGCTATAAAATGCACATGTTTATGCATCCATTAAGTAGTTGTTACAAGGCTCACATATTTTTACTTTCTTTCATTCCAATGATTTATTTTTTTGAAATTTGCTATGGATTATAGTTGTTTGATAAATTGCGAAGAGGGAATTCGATTTATGCAGCTGGGAAAATGAGAAAGGGGGGGGGGGTAAGGACACCCATATAGTTTTAAAAGTATTCTAAAAGTTGAGAGGTGACGTAAATATCTCGATTTTGTTCAATATGGGTCTGATACACTCCAAACTTTTTAGTACAACTATAACCAATACTTGCAAGGATAGTTTTAATTTTTTATAAAAGCCATAAAAATGTGTAACAGGAGTAACAGCCTGGTAGGTAAGTAAGACGATTAAAGAAACCAACGGGACGGGAAATACAGTGCAGGTAAGGATACACAATTTTAGATTAAACGGGGAGTTGTTTTATACTCGCAAGTCCATAATTGCATTTCAACACATTTGTTAAAATAATTATAACGGAATAGGTGAATGACCGTTGGCGATTTAAATTCATATTTTGTTTTAATGCATTGAATAGTAAATTGACTAATAAGTCACTTGTTTTATAACTTGTATTGGTAAATGAGCAGGCCCTGGTCGACGGTGACCATTTGCGTTGAGGTACTGCCGCCGACACCATGGTTCTTGGCACCCCCATTGGTGGCGGTTGCAGTTCCATGTTTAATCGTGCTAGACACGAGTATTCATGGCCCTTGCAAGTGGCGTATTCCGTCGCACCTCAACGCAACTGGAGGAGTGCAACACATATTCTTACGCTCATTCCATTGTTTATCCTATTGCACATGTAAATTGAAATTCAGGATTTGAATTTGTGCATTGGCTTGTGATTGACAAGCAGTTGACTTGATTGATATTGAATTGATTGATTGATTGAATTTGATTGATTGATTGATTGATTGAACTTGATTGATAATTGAATTGGTGACGTTCATGCACTTGTGACCTACCCAGTGCATGATCCGCCCGATTTGGGTCGTCACATTTGTTGTATTGATTGTTGATTGTGGGGCAGCCCTGTGGTAGCCCCAGCAAATTGATCACCGCGGCCAGAAGCGCCAAATTAAACAAGCAAAATAATATTTGTTGTTTGTTTGTTAGTAGGGAATCTGCAATAATACCACTTATACGAGCCTGGTCTCGGATAAGTGAGTTTATTTCAGTAACCCTAGTAATATTTTTCTATTCCGGATAAGTTACGTACATTTGGATAAATATAAATTTCCACCCTAAGTCACAAGCTATCATTCCGGATAATTGAAGTTCATTCGTATATAGTCTAATAATAAGTTCTCTTCTACCTCCTTTCTCAAAGCATCGATTAAACGGTAAGGTCATGGAAAATTTTTGGGAGTTAAATTGTGGCAATGTTTTAAATTTTACCCACCCACCCTCCTCTTGTTTTTAGAACAAATACTGCTGCTTCTTGTTGTGTCATTGTAGCTGAAGACTGCCTGCTTCGTCCAGCTTCCACAACAGCCTATGTCGCGGTGGTGGATTATGTGTGTTCGCATATTCCGTAAGGACAGCTTGCTTGGTCCAGCACCTACATCAGCCTACGTGGCGATGGTGAATTTTGTGAGTTTGCGTATTCCGTAAATACAGCCTGATTGATCCAGCGTCCACATCAGCCTATGTGAAGGTGGTGAATTCTGTGTGTTTGCGTATTCCGTGATGACTGCCTGCTGGGTACAGCGTCCACTTCAACCGATGTCGCGGTGGTAACTCTGTGTGTTTGCGTATTCCGTCGCACCTCAACGCAACTGGAGGAGTGCAACACATATTCTTACGCTCATTCCATTGTTTATCCTATTGCACATGTAAATTGAAATTCAGGATTTGAATTTGTGCATTGGCTTGTGATTGACAAGCAGTTGACTTGATTGATATTGAATTTGATTGATTGATTGATTGAACTTGATTGATAATTGAATTGGTGACGTTCATGCACTTGTGACCTACCCAGTGCATGATCCGCCCGATTTGGGTCGTCACATTTGTTGTATTGATTGTTGATTGTGGGGCAGCCCTGTGGTAGCCCCAGCAAATTGATCACCGCGGCCAGAAGCGCCAAATTAAACAAGCAAAATAATATTTGTTGTTTGTTTGATTAGTAGGGAATCTGCAATAAATAAATGATATAAAAGTGTATATAAATGATAGTAAACATGTATATTTAAAACAAAAGTGCAATAAATATGATTCTCACCCTTTTACACTAAATGTTTAAAGAAATATGAAGATAACGAATAGTATTCAATCTCGATAGTCCAACGAAACAATACAAATTTGGGGCAGAGCAGACACGGGGCTCAAAATTTAGAGGTGGGATCAGGTGCCATGGAGGAGTGAGCATCACCTGCTGACTGGTCACACCCGCCGTGTGCTTCTCATCATGATAAAAAAAACCCGGAAAATTCCGTAGACAGTTCAGTGTATAAGTAATGGCTAACAATTAGTATGAAAAACATCAGTCAGCATTTGACTTCATGATAGGTTGTATGTGCTGACAAGGACATTGTATCGACCGTAAAACTTGCGAAATGATGACTTCAAACGAGAGTGTTGGTATCCTTGTTTCATCAACTTGTTTGTCAATGGTTTGCCTCGTTTCAGAAATTGTTCATACGTAGAGTATGCTCTTGCGTATCGAATCAACTGAGAGACATAAACACCATATGCAGGTGATAAGGGTATATTGCTACATAAGTAAGGGAAGTTGACGATTGAAAAGTTGAAGTCATCACGTTTATCATAAAGCTTTTTTGCCAGGTTATCATTAACGTCCTTTTCTAGTAAAATATCTAAATATGAAACAGATGTGTCAGAATTTGTGGTATCTTTTATTTCAAGCTCACTGGGACACATCGAGTCGACATAAGTGATTAAATATATTATATCGGTGCATGAAAACATATTTTATCCACCTTAATCACGTGCAGTCACTGCTTAAAAAACCAAAGTTTTCCATTCTAAAGACAATATATCACTTATTTTCATTTATTTTAGACGGAAAACAAAATATAAATGGAAGAGTGGATGTAAAAAAGAAAATCCTTCTAGTGAATCAAAACGCGCTGGAATTTAATATCATTTCTACAGGTATTAGATCTTTCAACATTGTCCAATAGCTACACTTTCGATTATTATAAACAATGTTACTACACACATGTATGATCCTAGTCCATAAAATAACTAAAGAGGGAATTACATTTCCGAAATTTTGAAAATGTCCATCATACGTTTCTGCAGAAAGTTTTTGCAAATCAATATTATAGGGTTATTGAACTTACATTGGTGAATATTGGAACGAGTTGGATGTAAAATTGCAGGAGTGCATTTTTACTGCAAACGAGTGCCAATATTCAGAATATAAATTATATATCTCCTCCATAATAAAGCTGAATCATATTTCCATTGAATTATATGAATTATTAAAACAAAATAATTCAGAATTTATGAGAACTAGACTACGGAATCTATTTGATATAGGTATCTACATTAAAAGTGTGAAAAAACAACGTCTGTCCTGGTTCATTATCCAATATTACATAATTTTAATGACCATACAAAGCGTTATGATTTGCTTAATGAGACTTTTATTGAGATTTATAGACACTACTTTATTAACAGTCACATCTTACCTAACTGCCACTACTCATCATAAATCTTGCCGTTGAGCGATTGACTACACGACATTTTTTTTTACAAAGGTGCGTTTCTTAATATTGGACTCCCGCTTTCGGAATGTTTCGGGCATACTCGTAATGCAAACTCGTCGTTCAATAACACATCAAGATATTGTACGTTAAACTTCTGTAGACCTTTGGTAATAATTATATAATAAATAGATTTTATTGTTGGAAGGTATAATGTTCCCGCATTTTTTTGTAACGATGTTTTCAAATCCGGGCAAATTTGGTGCCCTAACAGTTAGTAAGTGTTCTGGCACCAAACTTACCCGACCGCGACTGTGATAGCAACTTTCATTATCTAGGGTATCATTTTGTATCTGTCAACAAGTAAGAAATATTATTTAATGCATTATCATTCTTTATAATTTAGATTCCACTCCCTAAAGGAGAAAATGGCCACTCCTACTTCCTGGGCACAGGAGGTCATCACCTGTGACCTTTGTCCTAAGCCTACTCAGCAGTTCTGTAATAACTGTCAAGTGCGTTTATGTGTGGACTGTGTCAGTAAACATGTAGACGAGTTTAAATCTCTAACACATGACATTGTTCCTTTCACTAATAGAAAAATACAGCTAGTATTTCCCGAGTGTATAGTTCACTCCAAGCAAAGATGTGAGGCCCATTGCCAACAATGTGATGTCCATGTGTGTCTGAAATGGATATTTAGTTCACACAGTGGTCATAATATAATCGATATTCATGAAATTTTCAATGAAAAGAAAAATGAAATTGAAAAAGAAATCGAAAAAATTGAATCCATCATTATTCCCATGTACAGGAAGAAAACAAATGATACAGAAAGAAAAATAACCAAAACTAGCGGCAAATTTGGAGAACTGAAAAATGAAACAGAAAAACACAGAAAACTGGCACCAAGAAGTAGATTATATTTTTAACAAACGTGGTTCCCTGATAACATCTCTGAGAGAAAATTATGTCACTCCTTTAGAATCTCTCCAATCTGAATTTAAAAACCTTATTTCCGATATGATCCAAACTGTTGAACAAAACAAAGAAATCCTGAAGAATACCAAAGTGACCGAAGTCAACAACTACAAGTCTAAACTGAGTGAATACAAAGACATACCTGCTGATATTGATGTCAACATTCCGTCACTGAACACAAACACAGTCCCAGGGATAGAACGTAGTATACAATAAGGAGTATACAAGGCTACACTGACACAGGCAACATTATCCAATCTGACAGATGAACTCTCCCTTTTATCTACAAGAGAGTTATTGGATATTGCCAGAGTGATTGCCACCATTCTTACGAAATGCAACAAAATTTTGAGTGTAGCCTGTGTAGATGCCAATGTAAATTGGGTAAGTGGGGATGGGAAAGCAATACGTATTGACATACGCGGGATATTACGTGACACTTTAGGAGGTTCTTGTCTTCTCGGTGATATAGCAGTGAATAGTGAAGGGGACTTGATATACAGTCATTGCGATAGCAGAAGTATAAACATAGTTAAACAGAGGAAAAAGAAGAAAACAACAATCACGCCAAAGGGATGGCATCCAGTGGGGATTTCTTGTACCAAATCAGGACAGATTCTCGTTAGTATGGTTTCCACAGATCGTCTACAGTACAAAATCTTACGTTACCGGGGGAAGAAGATGATGCAAGAAATATACAAAGATGAAGATGGAAACCCAATCTATAAAGGAGGAAAAAGTTCACTTTTTCTTGCAGAGAACAATAATGAAGATATTTGTGCCTCTGACGTTAATGCTCAGTCAGTGGTCGTGGTGGACAAGACGGGAAGAGTTCGATTCCGATACAATGGCAAAGAAGATCAACATGCAAGATTATTTTATCCTATACAAAAAGTGACGGACTCTGATTGTCGAATAATTGTGTCTGATATTAATAATGCCTGTCTTCATATCCTTGATAAGAATGAACAGTTTTTGATGATTGTGGACAACTGTGGACTATAAAATCCTCGGGGACTCAGTAAGGATAGTGAGGGGAGGTTGTGGGTAGGATTAATGTCAGGCGAAGTGAAAGTGATCCAGTACACGAAATAAAGAAAGAAAAGAGCCAAGAAAGAAAAAATGAAACGTCAATTTTTAAAGTATTAACTTCATGCCAAACTAACTACATGTAGATTTACCATAATATAAAACTTGCTCGAAACTTGAGTGTCAATTACTACTTATTTTAAATTAAGTTTCCAAGTGAATATTTCTAGTTCAATGTACATGCTATTAAAAGCAGGACTTGCCGGACCTTTGGACATCGAAGAATCAAGGGTATAAAAGCTTATATGTGAATTGTGTCAGTAAAAATGTAGAGAACTTCAAGTCCAAAGCACATGACATAGTCTGTTTTAAGAACAAAAAGATAAATTTGGTGTTATTTTTATCCTAACCAAAGATGTGCGGCCCACTGCCTACAGTGTAATGTTCCAGTCTGTATTAAGTGTATTCTTGGTCATTACAAGGACCATGATGCTGTAGAATTATCTGATATAGTTAATCAAGAAATTTGAAAGGAATTAGTAAAAATTGAAATTGTGATTACTGAGTATTCCAAAGTATACAAGAACTATGCACAGCAAATGAGAGTAAAGATTTGAAAACTAGCACAAGTTACATAGATTTAGAGAAAAAAATGGACGCGAACATATCAAGTTGACGATATTTTCAACAGAGTTCTATAATCAAATCCATGAAAGAGAACCAACTGGGTTTTTTTTTTCAGATCAAAACTCAAAAAAGAAAGTTCAAGATACGAACAAAATTGTTCAGCAAATCAAAGAAAATCAATGAGAGCAATGGACGTGAACAACTACAAATCCAAGCTGAAAGAATACAGAAACATATCTACAAACGTAAATGTCTAAATTCCAACATTAAGAGCTAACACAGACCAAGGGAGAGAACTCAATCAGGATAATACAAAACAGCACTGACACAGACTGCACTATCCAGTCCGACAGTTGAAACATCCAATTTATCTATAAAAAGAGTTATTAGTAAGAGCCATACTGATTGCCAAAATTCCTGCCAGTTTAAGAGACATATCAGTATTGCCTGAGTGGACGAAAAAGAAAGCTTGGGTTAGTGGTGATGAGACGGTACCAAAGGACTATTCCTGACGCTTTTCAAAGTTCCTGTCCTCCTGGTGATGTAGCAGTGAATCGTGAAGGATAGCTGATATGCAGTGATTACGAGAGTAGAAGTATAAACATAGTTCATAACAGGAAAGGAAAGAAAACTATAATCACACCAAAGAGATGGCATTCAGTGGGGGATTGCAGTACTAAATCAACACCGCCCACTTGTCCTCGCCCACAAATCGTCTTTAAAAATCGTACATTATCAGAGAATCCATAAAGATGAAAATGGAGACCCAATCTTTGCAGGAGGGAAAAGTTCACTTTTTTCTTGCAGAGAATACTAATGGAGATATTTGTTACTCCGATGTTAATGCTCCGCCAGTGGTTGTGATGGACAAAAGAGGAAGAGTTCGATTCCCAGATGATGGAAAGAATGACCAAATTGCAAATTCTTTTTGTCCTTTACAGATTGTTACAGATCCCAGTGGTCGCATCATTGTGACTGATGTTGATGATGCATGTCTTCACATTTTTGTTATGGATGGTCAGTTTCTGCTGCTTTTGGTCAACTGCGGACTAGATAAACCTCGAGGACTAAGTGTCAACAGCGAGGAAAGGTTATGGGTAGGATTTCTGTCAAGCGACCTGAGAATGATTCAGTACACGATGTAAAGGGGAAAAAAAGACAACCCCATTATTGAAAGTAGTTACTTCATATCGAACTAAATACATGTAAATTTATCAAAATAAGGAATCGTGATTGATACCTTGATTGTTTACTATTACTTATTTTAAATTACTTTTCTAAGAGTTCAATGAGTCGTCTAACCTTAATATAGCTTGTAGAATCAAGGATGCAATAAATATTAAAATGATACCCTCCTTTTATACCAACAAGTGTTACAAACCAGGATTGCGCATGACATTGTAGAAAGTGCTGTGTGTACATGTTAAAATAATGTCAACTCCCACTATTTCTACAATTTTACGAATTAAGTAAGAAAATTCTGATTCATATTAATAAATTTTTATGTCTACACAGGCTATAAAAAGCACTGCCATTTTAGGGTGAGTGGTATCACTAAACAAAATTCTTGACAAGCAAAAAAGAAGGTAATCAGGTTTTACTTTGGGGAGGACAAAATTATAAATTGCTTTGTTTTCTATTGAATTGTAAATGTCTTTATTGACATAATTATTGAGGGGGTTAAGACCTTTAATTGCTTTGTTTTCAGTATTGCATTGGTTTTATTATAAAGCATTTACTTGCAAAATTATTGAGGGCCGCCCGGCCACAGCCGTACATTGCTTTGTTTTCAATTGTAGTAAATGTTTATGCTGGCAAAATTATTTGGTGGCAGACCCGCATTGCCCCTTCGGTGTCTACTTGCCTGCTGGAAATGTGTATGAGAATACATTAGGTACTTCTTCACAATCAACGGGAAAATAAGCTACTGGCTTAAAACTTAATAATGATAATAAATGTTGAGGTCAACATCGAAAGTAAACCATTTTTACTGAATTCAAATGAAGATAAAATGTTATCATGAGAGTGTTTTTGTAAAGGAAAATAAATGGAGATGTTCCAAACTACCTGCGCTTAAATTAACATTGCATTTGACGTAGTATCTTAACAGGGACAGCTGTGCTGACAAGCTGAGTAAGGTGCGTTAGTACGATATGAAAATTTGTCTGCACAGCCTCCGTCAAAAATCTATAATTCAGCATTCATATCTGAATCTATCGATTTCACTGAAGATTCTTCTTTGAATAAATTATACCTGTTTTAATAAATAATACTCTACTTGTTTAGCCAAATTGATTGCCATTATATATTTTTTTTTAAAATCTAAAGACACTATTTCCATCAGTTGAAAACGAGTTATACAATACATGTAATTGGCAAAATGAGTTCAAGGTCATAGGAAGGCCAAGGTTGAAAACTGTTGATATAAATAAACTTCTCGTTCTAGTAAGTATCTATAATTGAAACATCATGAAAGTTCTTTTAAATTATAAAAGAAGAACGTACACACTGGACATTTAAAAGTTCTGATTTTTTGGCATTGTAATTTTCCCTTCGATCTTACGTGAAATTAATTGACTTCAATTGAGTAATACCTTTTTTCAATCAATTTAAGCATTGATTTCTTAACTTTTCAATTGGCCAAGATAAATTATGTGTAATTGCATACTTCATTTGCAAGTAATTTCCCCTCTTACTTAAAAAAAAAAAAACAAACCAGATATTGCTATTAAGCAATATTTCATTATCTACATGTATGAACATTTTTCCTGAAGGTAAATGCCACGTGCCCTATGTTGAAAATGTACAATTAAACTACATGTAACAACTAAACTGTATGACAAACGAGAAGACTTCAGCTTTGCCATCGTCAACTTTCCTTGTTTATGTGGTCATTTTCCGCTTTCACCTGCATATAGGTGTTTATGTCTCCCAACTTATTCGATACTCAAGAATATGCTCTGAGTATGATCCATTTTTAAACCGAGGCAGGCTACCGACGGATAAGTTGATGTTACAGGAATTTCAACAACCTCGTTTGAAATCAGCATTCCTTAAATTCTATTGTCGTTATAATGATCTAGTTACCAAATACAACCTATCACTAGGTCGTGTTTTGACTGTTATACTTCGTACCAATTGTGACCTTTGTGTTAATTAATACTAAATGTGACTACAGAATACGCTGTCTACCTGATCAATACATAGGGTTAACGGCGGGCGAGACAGGGGATGCATCCTCTTCCAAGGCACCCTATCCCACCTCTGGAATTTCCTGGGTGCGTGGTTTATGCCCTGTTCACAGATTTCTATTGTTTGTATGTTTATTTTGAGATCGATCAATGTTTGTTATCGTCACCATAAGCTTAATATTTACAACTCTATAAATAATTTTTTCTCAATGTCAAGCAAAGATTTACTTTAGTATAAAGAGGTGTAGTGCTCACACTCTTTAGTGTAACAACTTTAAATTCAGAATATGATAACGTCGACTACATAGTTTTGACTCAGTAACGTTTTTCTGAATAATTTGTGTTTGTGTGTTTGTTGAAATATTTTGAACTGTTTCTTTGGAATTGATCCTCAAATGGATACATGGATTCACATGAAGAGGAATATAATAGAAGGAAGAAATGATAAACAAATTTACGAATCATACAAAACAGTTATTTGTGTTTGTATAAAATAAATACCTTTAAAGATAATTTCCACTTATTAATGATGAAAACAAAAACTTTGCTTACCTTAAATGTTTCTAGTACAATATAGTGTGTAATGAAAGCTACGAAGAGATACCTGCGGATAGTGCTGTCTGCGAACATAAGGGGATATATCTTGAACACTTGTTTTGTTATTATTCATTTAATATTTATCATGGTCTTCTTTATCAAATTGAGAAAGGAAATAAAGTCTTCAATTAAACTTTTATTCACCTAAGAACCTAAGTTTTTAAGAGCTTATCCAATGCTCATATTCCATGTTAAGCAACTGACTTACATTGAGAAATACATGTAGGAACAACAACCTTTTATAAAGAACCTCCAGTCATTAATAAATAATTGTTGCCTTGCTGTTCTTGAGAAATAAGATTTACCCTTCATATATTTACCTGCAGACCCTGTATTGATGCCCAATCCCAATGTGGTGGTCTCATTCAATGCTAACATATGACTACTTGCAAAGATCTGTATTGATGCCCAATCCCAATGTGGTGGTCTCATTCAATGCTAACATATGACTACCTGCAAAGATCCTGTATTGATGCCCAATCCCAATGTGGTGGTCTCATTCAATGCTAACATATGATTACCTGCAAAGACCCTGTACTGATGCCCAATCCCAATGTGGTGGTCAATGCTAACATATGATGATGATTGTTTGTGGATCTTCTTTTCTTCAGAAGAAGCGTTAAATATATTTTTTTCTTTCCCCTAATAGAGCTTTCACTCCATAACTTCAAGATTTGTGAACTTAAATTTACATCAGCATAATATGAAGTTGCTTGAATATTAATGTAGTAGTTGTGGCCCTGCAATAATATCTTCATTTGGGAGAGGCATACATGACCATTTATATCAACAGATCTCATTCTGTTGTAAAACTTTTACTCAGGACAACTTTGTATAACGTTTGGTAAAAATTGCACTACTGATTCTGAAGAAAAGGACCATGAAGCCTACAGATAAATTATCATTACTTAAATTTGTATATAAGGTCTGTATGGATGTGTATTAGTGGATTTTAAAGTTCTTAGTCTTCAATTATCTCAGTGGTTCATTCTGATTACACATTCTAACATGCAACATGAATATAGAAACAGATGCTAAACAAGACAAGGGTATAAGGTTTATATTAGATATATATAGAAGAATAACTCTCTCTGTGGGCTTGATATTGAAAAAGCCTTTTAAATGTCTTTATGATCTGAATGATATTTAATGGGCCATTGATTACCATTAGAGCAAATAGTCTTTGCACATGCCCACCTGACTGGTACGTAACCAGGAAGCAAGAACATAAATGAACGTTTGCTTCCCAGTCCGATGAATATTGGGGTTGGAAGATGAAATACATGTCTTTTTTAAACACAACTTCATCGGTTGGAACTAAAAGGTAAAACATTCAGCTTAAACATATTAATTGAGCCGTTTTTCACTGAAACAGTAACAAGTCGACTTCTATAGATTTTGACATGCATACTGTGAAATCTATACTTATAAATTAATAAATTTTGCAAATAAACTCCGAAACGGGTGCACCAGAGTTCTTACTTACTCCTCTAACAATACATTAGATATAAGATGATGTCCGTAAACTATATTTAGATTTCACTCACATAGTAAGTATCGTACATTAAATTTAAAGTCTACTTTTATTTTCTATAAACAGCCATGAAATAGCAAAAACGTGAGTACGGTGGCGTTTTCGGTTGGCGGATCTAAGTCACTGGCAATTTTTAATGAAACTGACAACAAGCAATCGTTTATTTATTTCATAAAACGTAATCACTAAATTATTCAATCAAAACTTGATTTAAATGATATCAAAGAAATAAATTGTGATAACCGATTAAAAAGGGATATGTGCAAATTATTTTCGTTATTCACCGATCTTGATATTGACGGAAGCTTCTAGAACATCATATAGCATCGAGCCAGATGTTAAAAAAACGAGGCGCTTATAGCTGCATAACATTAAAAAGAAAAAGCTTTTGTGTGATTGGTCATTGAAATAATGGTAAATCATTGATAACATTATAAGTTGTGAGTATATTTATATATCGAAAGACTATTACATATATATACATGTATGTATAGTAGGTTTTCCTAATAAAATTATCGGTAAAATGTATATATTCCTTACTGAGAGAATCGTGGCAACGAACCCGAAGTACAATTTGTACTTCGTAATAAACTTGCTTACATGAAAAGAGAAAATTAATGACTAAGGTATTGTTAAAAAACAATTAAAGATGTAAAATTTTGTGCTTTAATTAATACATTTCATTTTTTTCTGAAAAAAGTCTTTTGTATCAAATACTCAGCCTATTCATAGGGCGTTAAAAGCTTATTTTACACAGGTACTTGAGTTTTGGTTTATAAATATGTATGTACCTTATTGATATGTAAAAAAGTAAAGTACATTATTTACATATCAGTAAGGTACAAACATATTTATAAACCAAGATCCAAGTACCTGTGCATTTTGACCCTCCCCTCCCCCCCCCCCCCCCAATCAATTTATCAGTAAAATGTGCATATTCACTGCTTTTATCTTTGACGGAAATGAAATAAGAGAATCTGAAGTACAATATCCATAACATAGTATAACAGGTTTCACAATAAACGTCAATTAATGAAATTGTTAATTTTCAAGTTTTTACAAAGGGGGTGGGGGTGGGGAGGAGACGTACATCTACTTCATGCGAAATTTTGAATAAAGTATTCGATCCTGATATAAGCCTGTAAGCTGTCAGTAGAAACTACGAAATATTTTCTGTCGGTAGTAGTATAAATTCAATTCCCCGCGCTTGCGCGGGATTTTATCTAGTCACTTATATTCGTGGGGGTTAATTTTTGTTCATTTCGGGTTGTGAAGAGATCCCCACGAAATATTAAGAAAATTCTATACAACAGTTAAAAGTTAATCCTTTATTCTTAAAATCAAATCCCCTTGAACCAATATTTTTTTTATTTTTTTTTTTTTACAAACTATAAAAATAAGTGATTTACAGTATTCACAGGAAATATTATCACATACAGTAAAAATCAATGGGATATTAATCAAATTTGATATAAAATACTTTTTTGAAGCCAGCACATTAAGGTGTTATATTTCAAAATATAGAATTAAATGATTTTTAAATAAAATCCAGTTCCACTTTCTGAGAGAGGCCATGAACACTCCATCTTCCACGGCACAGGAGGTCATCACCTGTGACCTTTGTCCTAAGCCTACTCAGCAATTCTGTAATAACTGTCAAGTGAGTTTATGTGTGGACTGTGTCCGTAAACATGTAGGCAAGTTCAAGTCTCAAACACATGACATTGTTCATTTCACCAACAGGAAGATACAGCCGGTGTTTCCTGAGTGTACAATTCACTCAAACCAATTTGGAGCCCACTACCAAAAATGTGATATCAATGTGTGCCTGAAATATATCACCAATAATGATCAAAATATAATGGAACAGAATGAAATTCTGAATAAAAAGAAAAATGAAATCGAAAAAGAAAATCTAGAAATTGAATCCATCATTATTCCCAACTACAAGAAGAAAACAAAAGACACAGAGAGGAAAATATCCAAAACAATAGGCACATTTGATGAACTGGTCAAAGAAACAGAAAAACACAGAAAACTGTGGCATCAAGAAGTAGATAAGATCATCAACAAACTCAATTCCTTGATCAAATCCAAGAGAGAAAATTACATCACTCTTCTAGAATCTCACCAGTCAAGATTAAAAAATCTTATTTCAGATATGATCCAAACAATGGAGCGGAACAAAAACATCCTGAATACTAACAGAGTGTCTGAAGTCACAAACTATAAATCCAAACTGAAACAATACAGAAATATACCTGCTGATATTGATGTTAAAGTTCCTTCATTGAATACAAAAATCGTCGAAGGTAGAGAAATCGGCATCGAATTTGGCGAATACAGGGCTACACTTACACAGACAGCGTCATTCACTGCGACAAATAAAGTCTCCTATGAAAATATGAAAGAGTCATTAGACAAAGCAATGGTGATTTCCACCATTTCCACTGGAGTTCTCCCTCTCTGGAGAGTGGCCTGTGTAGGAACAGATGAAGTCTGGGTTAGTGGTGATGACGAAGTCATAAAACGTGTTGACATACACGGGTCTCTACAGGAATCTGTCACCACCGCATGTCGAACCTTTCCTGCTGATATTTGTGTAACTAGGGAGGGAGAACTGATATACAGTGACTCTACAACTGAAAATGTGCATATTTTCAGGCACGGGAAACCAGAGGTAATGATCACCACACCACGGGGATGGAGACCATACAGACTGTACTGTACAAGTTCAGGGGACATATTGGTCAATGTGTCTAATTATACACAAAACAAAATAATACGTTATCAGGGAACTATATTGAAAATGGAAATGGATAAAGATGAACATGGAAATCCAATCTTTAAAGAAGGGTATGATATACTAGCTGTGGCAGAGAACATCAATGGAGACATCAGTGTTTGTGATGGTAATGCAGACATCTTAGTTGTGGTAGACAAGGCAGGGAGAGTCCGATTTCGATATGATGGTTCACAAGCCATGAGAGAAAAGACGTCCGGGCCAAGATATATACTAACAGATACTGCTGGTCAGATCATTATGACAGACATAAACAATGCTTGTATACACATCCTAGACAAGAATGGACAGCTCCTGAAATGTGTAGACAATTGTGGACTAGATAAACCTTATGGATTGAGTTTGAGTAGTGGGGGAACGTTGTGGATAGGATTACCTGATTCAGGAAAAGTGAAAGTTATCGAGTACATGAAATAAATATTGATTGTGCTATTGTAAAGAATGAAGTGTGGAGATAACGAACAGCGGTCATGCTCAGAAGTCAATTTAAATAATACTAATTTTGAGCAGTGCCAACACGGACCTCTGAAAACAGAAATGGGATTAGGTACCATGGAGGAGTCAACCAGCCATGTCTCTATTGTCCTGACTGAGTTAATAATAATGGTCTAACATTTCGTCCATTTATTCATTAGTCCCATATTTACATACATGTAATTACTCTATATATTCTATATGATACCCAGCTCTCGAACTTGATCGCACGATCTAGACAGAACATTGATTTAGTAACTCTGAAAAAGCATTCTTAATTGATATTTCTGAAAATGGAAACCATCTTCTGTAAAACAGCAAGAGTGGTGATAACATCACAATAGTTAATATGAATTGATGTTTCTAAAAACAAATACTTTAACTACTATTTGTAATTGTGATGTAATACTAAGTATGTCGTAACGTTGGTTAAAAATGTTCATATATTGTTCATATTTAAACACTATGTTTTATAATTTTTTTTCAATTGATACAAAAATTAAAAAAAAACATAGCCGTTTGATTTGGTACATTTACTAAATTACTTTATTACGGAACACAGAGATTAAAAAACAGCTGATTTCTTACGATGTCTAGTGTTGAAGTGTTAAGGACACAGAAGTCGGCCGCTGCTGCGGCCGATAACCAAAGAGGACGGACAGACCTACAGAGAAGACTGAGGCATGCGTGGGTATCAGGTACTCGAAAGTATATGCTTTTCAGTGAGCATTGGGATTGAAAGGGATATTTGTAATATGGATGATATAATGATTGGTATGACAGGTTTCATGATGATCAATGGATCCAGAATTTGTACCAACAAGTAAAATCGTCTTCCTCTGTCCGTGCAGCTCGATCCTTCCTTCTGTCATTTCTTGTTTGAATGCTTGTTTAAAGAGTTGTGAATCGTACAAATGTTATCATTTACATTACCTGTTCTTGCACAAAGTCTTACTGAGAATTCAAAATACTCTTTACAGGGTTAGTTTCGCCTCATCTGATTTTCGCCCTTTCACACCTGCAAATACTTTGGCCCCGTTTTGAATTCGCCCAGACACAGTTCTGTTTAAGAAATGAAAGCAAAGTGAGCAAGCTTAAGTTTTATGACATTCTGTGCACTGGTTTAAGAGGAGTTGTGCTTACAAACTATTCATCTAAACAAGCAAATTCAAAATCACGCGGTCAAAAATCATAGTATATATGGAGAGGTCTTGTCATAGGCAATGTACATGCCAAATATGAAAGGCCTATCTCTTGTCAATCAAAAGTTAAAAATAAAGACAAAATTTTTGAAAAGTAGGTCAAACTTCAAGGTCAAGGTCTCGGGGTCATATATAATTACATTTATATATTTGGAAAGGTCTTGTCACAAGTTATGTACATATTTAATATGAAAACCTTATCTTTTCTCATTCAAAAATTATGACAATTTAAAATAAGATAATGTTAAATTTTTTGAAAAGTAGGTTAAACTTCAAGGTCACGGGGTCAAAAATCAAAGTATATTTGGAAAGGCCTTGTCATAGGTAATGAACATGTGATATATGAATGCCTTAATTTTTCTCATTCAAAAGTTATGACCAAGGTTAAAGGTTTTGTGCCAGACAGACTGACAGCTAGACAGACTGACAGACAGACGAATGAGATTTAATGTCCCCATGCTTTTGCATATGGGGATGTGGATACATGTTCATGCTTATTGCCCTCCGCTTTTGCGTAAGTGAGAGGACATTAAATCTCATTCATCTGTCAATCTGTCCGTGTCACAAAAATATTTTTATCTCTAAAGTAATTTTCCTTTTCAATACGAATGCTTAGAAAAACAACAGCAACAACAACAAAGAAATATAAGTGTGAAGTGTCCAAGGGACTTCAAGGCGAAACCCTCACCGAATATAATATATATATATTGGCTAAATATAAATCTTCATATTTTACTCGCGAACATGCAATAAATGTATATTATTATACTTTCATGTTAAATAATAAAAATTGTATTGGTTTAGACGCATTTAACAATCCGTAATGTTACCCTCAGCGTTAGCAACACACTTGACAACGGGTAACATTACGAAAATGTCACATGCGTTCAAATCATGCGCGTACGGTTCACCGTAGAATTCTCAAAACGTCGGTTGTGCGTTTGAAAGAAGCCGAATAAACGACGTCGATAAAAGCTTGCGTCCGATGTAGCTTGCTTGAAAACAACAAACGACAGACGAAGTATCCTTGCGAGTGCACACTTTAGATGATAAAGGACTTTTTAAGTAGCAAACAAACAATAAAGAGGTTGGTAAATCTTTTCCGAAGCTTTCTTATTGAGAAAAATAGAAGTGGGGAGTTTGAAAGCTTTCTAAGCGTGAACTTAACGACGATCTCCGAATTTTTTTATGACATCCGAAATCAATAAGACATTCAGTATAATAAAATAAATAGTGCACGTTTTTGAGGGTAACAGTTGAAATTGACACCCCTCGGAAAACCATTGTCAACCTCCGCTGACGCGTCGGTTGACAATGGTTTTCCTTGGAGTGTCAATTTCAACTGTTACCCTCAAAAACGTGCACTATTTATATAACACATGAGGTATAAATATCGAAGATACTACGAAATTGATATGAATAAAATATTGGCCAATTCGAATCCTAGTATCCTCTAATTTTAATAAGATTAATTTTCCAGTTTTTTCTATGCTTCATATCTAATTTTTTTAATTTTCAATTATGGTGAAGAGGATAGATAAAAAATTAAAAAAAAAATATTGATCGTTTAATAAGAGAGAAAAACAGTAAAAAGGTTTTCACTGATTTTTCAAACAAGTCACAATGTTATCAATAATAGGTTTCAATGTATATAAATTCTTAATATTTTCCTATACGGGGGCCTCATAACGTAGTTTTCCTATTATGAACCCCGATTTTAGAATTTGCAGGCATTGGTCAGTCGTGGAGCATTTAAATCCAAGTAGACGATGTCAATGTTTTTCATGCTTATTTGCCATTTTTGGTGACCAGTCCATGATGTTTATTACATAGTCTATTTTTCCACAAAGGGTAAGTTGAATTTTTCTTACACTTTAGGTATTTGGGCACTACTTTTAGACTTGTTACTTTTTGTAAGGATACAATTTCTTATGTTAATGTTTGCGTATACGGTTCCTGTCGGGTAGGGTTACTCATGCATAAAACATTCTATTTTTGAGCAATATTGAATATACTAGTACTATAAGAGTGCGCACAGTGTATTTAATTTGCTTTACAGGCGACATAGAGTTGTTGGTTTAGTTGTTCAAACCTTTTAAATTGTTCTATTCTTAAAACTACCTAGTACAAATTGAAAGAGATTTGGAAACAAAATTGATTCTTTGTTGACAGCTTAAGCTTGTGTGGACTTTTTAAAGCAAAAGACAAATAATGTTAAAACTCAATATGCATGCCCAGTCTATAATATGGAAAAATCACAATTAATAATTTGTTTTATCAATTATTTGTTAATATTGCATTGATGGAAATTAGGATGAGAAAAAACTTTACATATTCATATGGAAGCATCCTTAAATAATGTAGATTCAAAATTGTTGAATTCGGGGAATCAGGGGGTATAGTATGTGGCACAGTTGGGTATAAAACGTTTTTCATTCGAACTTATTGAAACACTCTTTATTTTTTTTTTTTTTTTTTTTTTTTTTTTTTGTAAATTATGCACTATGGTGTTAAGACGAGGCCTTAAATTGGAGATCAAATTTTACATATTCCCAGTGTTAAGGAAAAAAAAATATCTCCAAAAAGTATTCTTTTACAGAACAACAAGGCCTTGATAGTCATATTGATGTTGAAACATTCCAATATTTTGTAGATTCAAGATCGGTTTAATAATAACCCCTTGAGGTGAGGAAAGGCCATGATATGGGATAATTTTTCATTGGAATAAATTTCTATTAGAACTCTTCCTCTGAAGAAGGCCAGTGTGACCCAGATGAATGTTGTGGCCCATTGGACTCTTGTGTATTAACTGCCTTATCATCGTACGTCTCACGTTGTACAACCCTTCAAATAATGTATTTCAAGAAAACCTCTTTCCCTACATTCACATTGCTGTATGCCAATGAATAAACCAAAAGGCTAATCTGCATGTATTGAAAAATAAACCTGGAATACACAGAAATTTGATATTGAATGTGTCATAACTTATCCTGATTGACAAAATATGGCGGTCATGGAACAAAGCATGATATACCCCTCCCCCCCCCCCTACTCTCTCTCCCTCTCTAGATGGACCAACAAAAAAATCTGAATTTGCGCGTATACTTAATCCGTGATATGTGTTCCCTCATGGAATATTATTGTGAGCGAAATTGAAAAGATTATTTGGAAGATATTTATCTTTATTTTAGGTAGGGCTAAATTGTTTACATCCAATTCCCACTGAAATTTTGCCCACCCATTTTTAAAAGCCCAAAATACGTATTTTACTAGAAATAGACGGGTTTTTTTTTTGGGGGGGGGTGTTTTGTTTGTTGTCCAACGTCCCTTTCGATAATTTTTCACTCATATGGAGACGCCACCACTTGCCGGTGGAGAGCTGCAAATTTTGACCTATACTCGGCACTCAGGGCCATTGAGCAGTGAGGAATCTTTTTCGTGCCAGCACCTACTGCGACACGGGTCCTCGGTTTATACCGGTATCCACGTCCCACAATGGGATTCCAACCCGCGAAGTAAAGATCAACTCCTTACTCCGCGACTCTAGGGCAAACTCTCTAACCACTGCGCCACGCGGGCGACTGAAAAAGACGGTAATGGTAACTTAACAAATCTTTGCGATAAACTTGATGACTTCAACTTTTCTATCGTCAACTTCAACTTCCTTTATTTATGTAGCAATATACCATCATCACCTGCATAATGAGTTTATGTCTCCTAGTCAATTCAAGAGCATGCTCT